TGGAAGGGGCATCGAGTGGACGGGGGTGGGGGGCAGAGTCCACTGCGCTGCCCCATCCCAGCTACCAAACAGCAGACATGTCCAAAAAGGAGGACTCCTGGGGACAGAGCAGGTCCCCATCATTCCCGAGGCTCCCCGGGAGAACTGGGATCTGAAAAGTGCTTCTGGAACACTCCCCGCATCTGCCTCCCCCCATCCGGAGGGAGCTCCAGGGGTGATTCCATTCCCCCCGTGTCAGGATTTTCAGCAAGAAGGAGTACTGGCGAGCACCCACCCCTCAGGATCCAGGTAAAAAGGGAGCCAGTGAACCAGTTTCTCTCACCTATTCTAGAGACTGCAACCATAGCGCCCCTCTCCTGGAATAATGGGTCGCAGCCCAAGCTCCCAGATCCATGTTTGCTCGTTGTGACTCAACAGTTCTTGAATGTTTCCAAACCTGACCGAAGAATCGCTTTTTCCGTTAATCTTCCCTTTGCAAATCCACAAGTTCTCGGTCTCTTGACGAGTCGAGGACTTGGGGAGGGGCTTGCCTCTCTTGGGGTAAGGGCCTGATTGGGGGAAGAGTCATGCAGGAGGGAGAACAGGACGGCAGGACCGAGTTGTGGGGGGAAATCATTTATGACAAGGAGTGGCCACCATGCCGGAAGCCCAATGCGAAGGGCACTGCTGAGCAGGGACGGGGTAGGAGAGTATCCTGACGAATCGTGTGAGGCTGAATTTGGCCTTGATGAGAAAACCACAGACTGGGGGTGTGGGAAACTCCTAAAGAGGGAGACCTCCTCAGAAGCCTTGAGGTAACAAGGGGTGGAAGGAGCTTAAACTGCCGGAGGAGAGCCTGAGGATTAAACTTCAAATGGCCGGAGGCCTGAGGCCAGAAAGAAATCAGACAGAAGGAGAAATGGAGGTTGGGGCACCTTAGCATGGAAGAGATCTTAGCTTTTGGACCAGAGATATCTGTTATAATTTTATGAACGTCTAACTTCAATCCAAAAGCTTATTAAAGGAATTGCAATTTCATTTTGACTTACTGTTTCCAGAGGTCAAACATTACTCTGATATCCCGCTCTCCAGCCATGACTGCCTATTCTGTTGGTCAGCTCCAGCCAGGGGATCCCCCGTCTCTTTCTCCATATCTCCCCTAGGTCCCAAGACCTGCTGCAATCTCAGTGAGGTCAGGGAGCCAGAGAAGGTCTGGTGTGGGGGGAAGGGGGAGTATATGGCTGGCTGGAGCGCTGGACAGCTGAGCGGGGGAGGGAGGTGGCTACCGAGTTGACTGTTTTAAAAATAGCTAAGTCCAAAATTCCAGGAGCTTTGGTGGCAGTAGGGTGTGGGAGTGGGGAGAGTGGGAGGACTAGAAAGAATGTAGAGTATAGGGTGCCAAGTAGGGGAGGGGGGACAGAAATATGACAGGCAAGTCAGATATCCAGTTCCAGCTAATATGACTCGAGTCACTGCCTACTCCAGGCAGCCCTCCAGCATGGCCACTAATGAATCCCCCACCTTTAAAAATTAGAGTGGGCAATTAATTGTACGCCTCTCCTTCACCACCCTCATCTCTGCTGTATTGAATACTGCATTTAGTTTCTGCAGACCATATCTAGTGGGAGCTGACTTTAAATAAGGTCCACAGCAGAGGTGGTTCACAGCCCTTCCCCCATCTTTGCAGAGTATTTCAGAAGGACTGAAAAAGCCAGCTGTCCAGAGGAGAAATCCGAGCTCTAAGCTGTTCAGGATGAGGGTTTGTTTCAGTCTACCAGCTCCGAGCCTTGCAGCTGTCTATCCCCTACTACCTCCATTTTCATTGCCTTAGTTATACAGCAGTTTCTGCTCCCTCCCTCTCACCAGCACACACACACACCTGCGCACAAACACGCGGGCCTGCACACAGCCTCCCGAGTTGCTGGGGGAGGAAGCTAACCGAAGCAAAGAAGTGAAAAAGGAATGGGGGTAGAAGGTTTTGACAGTTACTAATCCACAGGGGAGGGGTACTTGGAGAGATAAAGAAAGAAAAAGAGACTTAGAAAGATACTTTGTGGAGTAACATAATCCTGTCACCTTTTAAAATATTGCAGCCAAGGAATTTAGCCATGTCATATTTTTGCAGCCATAGGGATCTGGGATCAAGTGAAATTAACCTGGGCTGATTCCAAATTATGCCACTAAGGCATCTGCATTAATTGGCTGTACATTTAATTCAGGATCTAGAGACCCACAAAGGACCCTTCTCTTTTATTATACAAATATACCTGACAAATTTAGTTTTTCCCTTCACCACATAAGGCCACATCATAAAGGCTTTTATTGCCAAATGACCCCAACCAAACTATTCAAGTCAGTTTAAAAGAATAATTTGACCATGGTGTCCCAAGTGGAATATACTCCAAGGACAAAAAGAGGTGCAAAAATATTTTAAAGTGGTCATATTGTTGGTGGTAGTGTCAGTATTATTATTCTGAAACTATTGTGTATTGTGAGATAAAACAAATGAGTGTTAAATATTAGTGTATTTGTGAAACAGGATTTTTGGTGTAGAACAAAGAGACAGATTTATAGTTGCTGCAGTTAAGTAAAAACTATAATCCTGAATTTATTTTTTAAATATATCTTTATTGATTTCAGAGAGAGGAACGGGGAGGGAGAGAGAGAGAAATATCAATGATGAGAGAGTCATTGATCAGCTGTCTCCTGCACGCCCTTGATGGGGATTGAGCCCACAACCCAGGTATGTGCTCTGACGAAGAATCGAACCACGACCTCCTGGATCCTAGGTCGATGCTCAGCTGCTGAGCCACACCCAGCCTGGCTATAGTTCTGTATTTAAATCAGAAATATAACTTGGCTCATGGTGTTTTTATCTTATTTCCTAACTTTGTGCTAAAAAGGCCTTGAAACAGTAACCCATTAGCAATGAACGTGCTAGTGTTCAAATTGAGCTATCTAAATACTGTTTCCCACTAAAAGGAACTCCTTGGAGAAATGACTGATTTCAGGTGTGGGGCAGGAATTGCCCAAGATAAGCAAGGAAGCTTTCAGAGACTTAAGATTGTATCAAAAGGAATCAGAGTAACTAAAATAACTTCTACCGGCTAAAGATGGGCAATTTGAGTGCCAAAATGGACACTGTCTACAATGGATTTAAACATATTTAATATGTTTAAATATGCTTAAATCTGAGTTCACAATGCTACTTAATTGTAGTAAAAGACACATAGCATAAAATTTACTATCTTAACAATTTAAAATTTTTTTTTTTTTTTTTTTTTTACATTTCACTGAAAATATTTTATTGGCCTTTTGGACAGAAACAGGAATTTATTTGCCATAAAGGATGATCCCAACATAGTTCTCCTGGAACCAGCGCATGGCCTCTTTGTGGTTCTGTGTTTGGCCCAATGCAGCCCGTCCTGCGTTTCTTGCCTGTGATGCTGAAACCTGGCCTGCCAACCACACAGGCGTCCAGGCCGGAGGTGCCAATGCTTGGGCCACGTCGATCCCCAGACCGATGTGTTCCTGGATCCCAAAACCAAAGTTTCCAGTATCTGAGAAGTTATTTTTACATAATTCGTACTCTCAGGCTTTCAGACCTTTCTCCAAGACTTCTCCCACCTCGGCCCCATGGCTTGCGCAGTGGCCGGCAACCTTGTCATGTCTCCTGAAGCCAGAGGACCCGACGGTGCGCCTGGCCTTGGAGGACACGGGCCTGGCCTGCCAGCTGCTCAGGGCCGTGGGGCCCGGTCGTCCGTCTCCTCCCCCCACAGCCTAGAGGCAGGTGGGCAGGTGGGGAGCTCCCCGAGGGGTTCTCCTTTCACCCCGATCCTGCGCCGCGATGAACAACAGGAAGAGCTCTCTGAACACTTTTAAGTGTACAGTTCAGAAATGTTAAGTACATTCAGATGACTGTGCAGCCAATCTCCAGGAATTTTTTCCTCGGATGTGACAGTGCGCCCCTGTGACGAGACAGTGCGCCCTGTGACGAGACAGCGCGCCCCTGTGACGAGACAGCGCGCCCCTGTGACGAGACAGCGCGCCCCTGTGAGGAGACAGTGAGTTCCTGTGAGGAGACAGTGAGTTCCTGTGAGGAGACAGTGAGTTCCTGTGAGGAGACAGTGAGTCCCTGTGAGGAGACAGTGAGTTCCTGTGAGGAGACAGTAAGTTCCTGTGAGGAGACAGTGAGTTCCTGTGACGAGACAACGCGTCCGTGTAAGGAGACCGTGCGTCCCTGTGAGGAGACAGTGAGTTCCTGTGACGAGACAGTGCGTCCGTGTAAGGAGACCGTGCGTCCCTGTGAGGAGACAGTGAGTTCCTGTGACGAGACAGTGCGTCCGTGTAAGGAGACCGTGCGTCCCTGTGAGGAGACAGTGAGTTCCTGTGACGAGACAGTGCGTCCGTGTAAGGAGACCGTGCGTCCCTGTGAGGAGACAGTGAGTTCCTGTGACGAGACAGTGCGCCCCTGTGACGAGACAGTGCGTCCCTGTGACGAGACAGTGCGCCCCTGTGACGAGACAGTGCGTCCCTGTGAGGAGACAGTGCGCCCCTGTGACGAGACAGCGCGCCCCTGTGACGAGACAGCGCGCCCCTGTGACGAGACAGTGAGCCCCTGTGACGAGACAGTGCGCCTCTGTGGGGAGACAGCGCGCCCCTGTGAGGAGACAGTGCGCCCTGTGACGAGACAGCGCGCCCCTGTGACGAGACAGCGCGCCCCTGTGACGAGACAGTAAGTTCCTGTGAGGAGACAGTGAGTTCCTGTGAGGAGACAGTGAGTTCCTGTGAGGAGACAGTGAGTTCCTGTGAGGAGACAGTGAGTTCCTGTGAGGAAACTGTGCGCCCCTGTGAGGAGACAGTGAGTCCCTGTGAGGAGACAGCGCGCCCCTGTGAGGAGACAGTGAGTTCCTGTGAAGTTCTCTTACTATAGCCTTTGTTTTAAAGTCTATTTTTTCAGATAAGTATTGCTACTGCCAAGTTTTTTTAAATTTCCATTTTCTTGAAATATCTATTTAATCTCTTTTATTCTGTGTATCTTTCGTTCTGAGGTACTCCTCGTGCAGACAGCATATGCTGCATATGGGTCTTGTTTTCTTATTCATTTGGTTACCCTGTGTCTTTTGACTGGAGCATTTAAGCCATTTACATTTAAAGTGATTATTAAAAGATATGCATTTATTGCCATTTTATTTTATTTCACTATGTTCCTCTTTTTCTTCTTATAAAAGACCCTTTAACAATTCTTGTAATACTGGTTTGGTGGTAACAAACTCCTTTAGCTTTTTCTTGTCTGGGCAGCTCTTTATTTTTCCTTCAATTCTAATTGATAGCCTTGCTGGGTAGAGTAGTCTTGGTTGTAGTTCCTTGCTTTTTATCACTTTGAATATTCTGGCCTGGAATATTTATGTTGAAAAATCAGCTGAAGCCCGGCCGGGCGTGGCTCAGCGGTTGAGCGTCGACCTAGGATCCAGGCGATCAGGGTTTGATTCCCCATCAGGGCACATGCCTGGGTTGTGGGCTTGATCAGTGACTCTCTCATCATTGATGTTTCTCTCTCCCTCTCTTTTCCTCTCTCTGAAATCAATAAAGATATATTTAAAAAAAGAAAAAGAAAAATCAGCTGAAATACCTATGGGTGCTCCCTTGTAGGTAACTGTCTTTCTCTTGCTGCTTTTAAGATTCTCCCTTTGTCTTTAATCTTTGCCATTTTAATTATGATGTGTCTGGAAGTGGGCCTTTTTCAGTTCATCCTGTTTGGGACTCCCTNCATTTTAATTATGATGTGTTTTGGTGTAGGTCTCTTTGGATTCATCTTGTTTGGGACACTGCACTTCCTTGACTCATGTGTCTTTTTTCTTCACCAGGTTAGGCAAGTTTTCAGTCATTATTTCTTCCAATAGGTTCTCAATCCCTTGCTCTCTCTCTTCGCCTTCAAGTACCCGTATGATATGGATGTTGCTATGCTTCATGTTCTCCCAAGAGTCCCGTAAACTATCCTCATCTTGCACAACTGAGACCATATACCCATTATACATAAATCAAACTTATTTTGAGATAATTATAGCTTTACATGCAGTGGTAAGTAATAATAAAGAGAGATCTGAGTGCCCTTTACCTAGCTTCCCCCTACCCCCAGTGGTAACATCTTGTGAAATTATAGTACAATATTACAACCAAGATATTGACATTGGTACATCAAGGTACAGGACATTTCCATTAGAAGGATACTTTATGTTG